AAATAACGTTCTCCCTGGGATGCTACAATTACATCACCTAGTCTCCAACATCCCCACCTGGCAACACAAGAAGAAATAAGGAAAATACATTGTTTTAATTATTACTACTCTTAGTCTTTACTATTTTAGGCTGAAACCTAGAACAAGGAACCCCACAGTTCTTTGATCCAAAGCAGAGGACCTGTAAACCTCAGGGTCCATGAATCTAAAGCAGCCTGTGTGACCCCTGAGTGTCTCTTCAAAGAGCTTTCTGCAAGGCCTTAAAGGGGATCCCAAGTAATCTTATGCTTCCCTGGCAGGTCACCAAAACAAAGCACACACTCACTAAAGACAACCCAATCACTGTGAGGTGGTTTTCTGGGGTTCTGTTTGTTTCAGGGGGGGTTGTTTTGCTTTTTGGGGTTTTGGTTGCTTGTTTTGGTAGGTTTTTTGCTTGCATGGTTGGTGGGGGTTTTTGAGTAAAACATTCTGAGCCTATTCTCAGAAGACTCTACTTGTTCTCGTCCTTTATCCCACTTGAAAGAAGGTTCCTATCTAAGGAATTAAAATGCAAACCCAGGAATACATACTTGGCATTTCTTCATGGAGACCAATACTAGACTGGGTTTTTTTAATGTTCTGCAGGTAGGCAGTACCAGGGCATCAATCTCTGTGTCACTTTCTATATATAGCAACTCCCCAAGTGTGAAACTGTACATGGAATTGTACATGCATTTGGGGGGTGGCAGTATTTATTTGATCTAACACAAATGTCTGCTGTCAACGATGCCAGATTTGTACAGTTGCTCCATTAAAAGAAAAGACAACATGTGCTGTTTTCACCTACGGATCTGGCACTATGGAATACTGGAGAAGAAAAAAAAAAAAAACAAAACCCAACAACAAAACACCCAACCATTTGATGCGGGATACCTCAAAAATTTAGCTAGGATTGGAAGGAATACCTTTCATTATTATTAACTTTAACAGTTTGATTTTGACCATGATTCTTCCAGAACACTGGATGAAGAGGCACCTGGTTAGTAATTCTTCACTTTACCAGGGAAATAAAAGGACACAGTAACATAAAACAGGCCACAGCCAGATAACAAGATTTCAGAGCACTGGATTCTGTGCAGCACGAGAACAGTAAGCAGAGAGTGTAAGGTACATCCTGCACTTTGATTCAAGTTTTACTTACCCATCAATAATGAGATGTTCATAGGGAGCCTTCTTGTCGCAGACAGGACAAACCCAAGTTGGTTTCTTTTCATTCATTTGAATATACAGAGTGGCATCAAAACACTGCAGGTGTGAACAAGTCAGGGCCCTACATGGTATAGTTAGCCGCATTTTACCCAGCTTTAAGAGAAAAAAATAAAACAAGATTACATCATCTTGGTAGCCAATTAACAAACAGGGCTTTTCTGTCTGAAAAGAGACAAAGACAGGTTGAGTTTTACTCCAGAAAGAACTGTCACTAATCCGAGTCTTGATTAAAATACATGCCACATACATTATTCTCTCCTCTGTCACGTGTAGGTTTGATTAGAGAAAAAAGTTACTTAAAAAAAAAAAAAATCACATTTTTAACTACATTTGATCAAGGAAACTGAAGACTACACCCCTTCATATTCCTGTAACATAATACAGAGTCCACCTGTAACATACCAGTGTCCTGGACGAAACATGAGAAGTAATTTTTCCCCTGCCTTAGGATTTTAAAAGTTGATAAACGTGGGTCAGTCTTCTCCTATTCACTCACAGTTAAACTGTGTATTCAAACTGCTGTCCACATTTCAGTCATCAGGGCACTACTAGAACTACTTGCTCAACTTCACAGTCACAGAAACAAGCATACAGAAATGCGGTTGCAGGATTACGGCTGATTTCCTGACGTGTTTCTTTAATTCCACAATTTTCACTTCTTTCTCCAAAGAACTGTCAGAAAGTGACTACTCACAAACTAAGTGACACGTGTTAACTATTAAGAAACTATTTTATTCTACTCTTGCTGTGTGTATATATATACACATATACACATATAACACATATAACTACACTATGAATACAGTTGTGAGCTAACCTGGAATGTCACTGCCTTTTTCTCACGTAGAATACAAATAGCTAACTACCCCCTGTAATACCATCACATCTTTTCAAGAGCCTGCAAATGTTAATGGAAGATGAGACAGGAGAAAATGAGTTCTAAAGCACACTTTCAGATGGGGACCATCCTTTCCTTCAAGTTTGCAGAAAGGCTAGGACAGCGAGGTCTCGCAGGCTAGTGCAAAGTTCCCACAAGTTTAATAAACAAAGCACAGCTGAGTGCTTAAGCGGAGCAGATAACACAAGAGTGCTACACACAAAAGGCATTTAGGCTAAATAGTGGAACAGGAATATCTTGACTTGGATAGATAGATCAACACTAACCCAGACCACACAACATTAACATAGGATTGCATTGAATGCAAAATTGATTTGACAGTGAAAGGCATTTCGTATTAATCTGAAATCAAAAAATTTCCTCTCCTCAAAAAAAAAAAAAACAAGCAGGTTTTTTCTGGCAAAATGCTTACACTGCAGTTTAGGAGGGGCTTTAACTGACCACACTAAAGGTAAAAAGCAGGAATCTCTCCAAGTCTTTTTTAATGTGGGAATAGTCTAAACAACAACAAACCAATTATTTATTAAGAACAACTTACACTGAGCATTTTGAAGATACATATATTTGACTAAAATATACACAATGACTTCATTTGAAAACCTTCAGCCAATTCTACCAGTGGATAGTAGGAGGAACTGTTTTTAGTACGGCTTAAGCAAGCATCGTGGTCATGCATACTGATTCTGAGCAATACAAGATGGGTGCCACAGGATGGCACTCAATCTCAGAGTATCAGAAAACTAAAAACACTATCAAGAACAAAGGCTCTACTCACAAGCCACTACTTCCTCCATGATGCTTGGGGATTTTTTGTGGGATTTTTTTTTTTTTTTTTTTTTGCATCCCCCGTAAGCTGAAATCCCTGTACCCCACTCCCAGCAAATTCAGCTAGACTGCAGGATCTTGCTTATTTTTCTTCCCTCTGGCTCTCAGTCACTGTCACAAAACTCACCACCAGATGGGAGAGGAGCAGAGAACCCCCAGGGGAGCCCGCAGTTATGGTGGCGGAGAGCTTGGACTGCAGGAGGTGCTGTATATGCCATGTGTTTGGCACCCCCTCCCCCCAAATCCATGACCAAGCACATTATTTCTATCACATAATCAACCCCCAACAAAGCAAGGCCCCCTGATCCATGTCTGTTATGAATTCTTATCTCCCAGATGGCAGGTCAATGGCTCATCTGTCTTTTGGGCACAATAAGAGTCTCCTAGCTCAGCCAGGATCAAGAGTAAGGGTACCACAGATAAAACCTTCTGTGTGATGCAAAATAAAAATAAGGAAGGTCAAAGACACGTGCTGCCGGAAGACCATAAATACCCACCTCCTGAGTAAAAAAAAAAAAAGCATATTTAAACCAGAAACATTTTCACAATCTTTTGGCATAAAAACTGGCCTCTAACTTCTAAGCGGCAGTCAAATTTAACCAAAGCCATATGCAGATAGAACCAGCGCACTCAGTGTTAATAAGTTGATGTCTCCTTTCCCATTTTTGGCATTGAACATCTTGGATCAGCTCTGCCATACTGGCCAAGCTGTGTCAGAACTGACAAAGGAGAAGGTCATAAAAGCAGGGATGCATCCCAACTTCTGAGAAACTGTGTTTCCCAACACTGTTACTGCTTTGATTCCTGCCTGTCGGCAGCCAAAAAAACACTGCATTAATTTCTTTTACAAGCGTACAAAACACTGCTATCTTTTTGTGATAGAAAATACAACCAAAACAAGAGTTAAGGATTTGTAAACAAAGCTGCAAAATCTACAGTAAAATGCGATATTTTGAATTTTTGTTCAGTTACATATTTGGTCCGGCTGCAGAGCCTGAGGATTTATTTATTTTTATTTCAAGGGAAAAAAAGAACATGAATTCAAGTGTCTTCCTGAAATACAGGCTCAGTCCAGCCCATTTGCCTGCTGTATCTTGGACAGATTCAGCCAATAGTTAAGGACAGCTTTTTCTCTGTACTCCACAGTCTCAGAGGGAGAGCAGGCCTCTGTGCTAAAAAAAGCTCAGCAGCAATCCAAAACAAATTCAGAGGAAGCAGCCTCGCTCTGCACTTTTTTCCAGGGCAAAATAAAGGTTATAAAGTCTAAACCTGCCAACCCCATCCAGATATGCAATTCCATGTATTTTATTGAGGTAGACACATGAGAGAATCACACCTGTAACAAATGAGATGGGAGAAGGGCACCCTTACATTAGCAGAGCTAAAGATACATCATTCTTTAATTTTTGGTTCTGCTGTTGGGACACCAAATCAGCATTTTGAATGTGTACTTTGAAAGCATACACTGTCCACTCAAGCATTAGAAAAGCACAAAATATTTACAAATAAATTCTCTCTGAGCCAAATGTTTACAAATTAGCAAGTAAAAATATGGAGGCTGTAATAAAATTACATTCAGACCCAAGGACAGTCTGAATCATGCTAATAACCTTTCTATTCACAGGACAGGTTGAAAGGTGCAGTCTCTGTCCCAACAAGCTTTTGCAATGATGGATTATTCCAAGAGCTACAGTGAAATCAGCACTGAATGAGGAACATACTGGCAAAGTAGTTAAGTACCTATGTTTTGTAGACATCATTAAAATGAAATAGAAACAAATATGCTCAAAATAATCTGCTATAGGCTTTGCTTTGTATGCCTATCAGAAAAGTAGTAAATTTTAAAGAGGAAATATGGACAAAGGTAGGACTTCTGAAGAGCTGCATCCTAATGTCCAATTGTTGTTTTGTTTTTAACCCTGGCAGAACTATGAGAAGGCAAAACAGAATTTGACATCTTTAGGTATTAGCAAACTTGCAGTCCTAAAAGCAATACTGTAGAGGCTATTCCTCCTCTAATACTAACTCATCTGAATCGCAATCATCAAGAAAAAAAAACATGCATCTAAAAGCACTGCAGAAGAACTTTTATCAGTAGTGGAGGCAATCAGGACAAACAGAAGTGTGTCAGAAAACTCCCATGGAATGATCTATAAAGCAGCGTAACTGCCTGAAGTGGCAGTTTTGACAAATCAAGTATGACTGAAGTAAAAATCTGTAATTCCAGAAGGTGCATGAAGATTAATTTAAGATAATGAATTACTGCATAGGCACTTCTAAACTCTTACAGCCATTCAATTCCTACTAACGGATTATTATTTTTGTCTGTATTTAAGTGGTAAGAATACTGTGCCTAAAGAATGACAAAAAAAAACAACTGGACTATCATTGTGCTTTCTAGAATAACGAAGTACTAACAGCACAACAAATATTCAACTGTAACAACTCAGCAAAATAAGCTGCCAGGTGTGGATCTGAAATACTTCTGCATTCCAAATCTGCAGCAGTTTCGACGTGACGTGTAAGTTCATAGGTTTATAGGATTATAGGTTATGAGGTTCTACGTTTACAGAGCAATTTTATTTTGTAAATGCAATCCCCGTGTCTTTCTTACAGATAAGTTTTATCTTCCTTATAAATGTGTTATTATTTAGCTAGCATCAACGTTGATATGGAGAAAGCCTTAAGATTGACGATCATGATAATACCGCATTTGAAAGATTGACAATTATCTAATACATATATAAAAAGGAACCACAACGACAATTGTGCTTTTTATGAAGCAAAGCTTATCCATCTAGAAGTTTATCTTTACATTGGTAGAATTTAAGAAGATATGGACTAAGCTTCAATTTTGCAAGAATAAAGTAAGTCAGTTTTCTTAGTTAGATTTCAAAACTGAAAATTCTATGTCAAGCTTGAGCAGACTGAACCAAACCAGGGAAGAGATGTACCCTTAATCTTGAAAGGAAGTTAAGAAGTTACACTGCAATAAAGATATTGTGTCAATCGATACAGACAGGAAGTATTCTGAAGGTGCACAGTACTTGAAACAATAGCACTGAGTCACAAAGATAAAGTGCACACAATATTACTACTGTGCAGTTCAGCCAATGACAACAAAAACCCAGGTATAAACCACTGCTTATCCCTGCAACAAAGTGGTTAAAAACCAACAGGCCAAGACACAGCATGTCTCTGCCACTTCCACATTCACTGGAACTGCATTCTCCCACTTCAAATTTGGAACAAATTCTATTTGAACCACCTCTAGAACACTGCTTAATTTTTAATCTAAGATTATTAAACACTCAAAGTGCACACGTGCATATAATCAATTTCAGTTAAAGGACATTCAATTCTTTGGCTGCAGACACTGGCTGAAGAGCTATTTTTAATAGTCAGATTCACCCACCTTACCACTGACTGTGGTTGTATCACAATCAAGGACCCAAACTGCCTACTCAGATGATCTAGTGACAGATTTAAATGTATGCTTACGTATAATTTTGAAGAGCGTTTTCAAGTTAATGGAATGCTCGTTTTCTCAGGGGTATATCACATGCTTAAGCACAGTGATGGCAAACTTCAGCACTGGATCCTATCCCCACAAGGTTAACACACAGGTGAACACAAGCTAACCTATACCAAATACATGTCTCAGAACAGCCACATTTTGATCAGAATCAGTTTTGAGGGAATTAAAAAAAAAAAAACAAACAAAAAACTTACTGGACAAAGAAGAGAAACTCTTAAGCTTGTTGTTGCTATTTCACTGTCTGGATCGGCAGTCAGCTTCTCTTTAACTGTTTTTTGAAAGAAAAAAAAGGTTTATTTTACAGCTGATTTAACACACAAACGGGATGATAGAGAAATAAAACAAGTCTGAAACTGCGTGCTAAACTTTCAGTTTGCCGTATCTACTGGAAGGAAGCAGCAGTAACTATTGTTTCAGACTCACACAATAAACATGTAATGTAAGCAGTCTTTACTCTCTAGAAAGACCATAAATGACAAGATTTAAGAATGAAAAAAGCAGGAAAAACTCATATTAAACCAAGATCCCTAGAAAATCTATTTATACAGAGATGATTCTTTTCATATACATGCAACTTTGTACTTGAAAGTTATTTAAAATCTACCAACAAGATGAGCCACATTAACTTGACTGGTAACTTCAAGCACATTAAAAAAAAAAAAAAAAAAGACACATGGACAAGCACCACTGTAAACCTCCGAAATACTCATCAAGCAATCCTGTGATTTAAAATTGAAAAGCAAATTGAGAAATATGAAATCAAAAGTACTCTGGCAAAATTCGGGACTTAAATAGCTGCAGTGAAATATCAGCGCTAGAGAAGTCTTTCATCTCTACCCATCCTTTTCTTTTACTTACACGGACCGTTCATAAGCAGTCATTGGTTAAAGGAACAAGTCAGTTCCATGTTCTTCCTGCTCTATGAACCACACCTACACACCCTCATTCTCACCTTGTATACAAAGCAGCAGTAAGCCACCTGGAAACTCTCTAGATTTTTGTGCATTTAAATCACCACACTGCATTAGCACAAGCTAATGCCCAGCACTATATACCACTGGCTTTGTAGCATTTACTGGTGGACTAATTTCTTCCCTTTGGAGAAGGTCCTGTGCTGCGTACAACATATGTTATCTGAGCATTAAAGAGTATGACCAACAGCTGTCAGGTGTTGGTATTTTCACCTGCTCCCTGAAAAAGAAACATGCAGCAGGTTTTGCTTGCATTTTTATTATACAAACTTATACCAACATCTACTTGTCAGAGAAAAGAATAAAGCAGAAAACCTCACACTTAAATTCGGAAGGGGGCTGGGAAGAGTAGACACTCTCTCTCCAGGAGCTCACTCCGCAATACCGTGCCAAAAGAATAAAAAACCGTGTTGATGGAGACTTTCCTCCAGCATGTCAGCATCAAGGTTCAGCATCAGGCACTTAGTTCAGCTTGCTTGAGGTACTGAATTACCAGTTAAGTATATAAATACAGTTGTTCTATTCTGAAGAAACAAAGCCAGTATGGCTGAACTGAAAGAGATTCTCTTGCATTTTTCCCTTCACAGTGTCAACAGGGTTCCTGGACTGGCTCCTAGTACAAACAAAGGCCTCTGAGTCTTTGAATTGGAACTGAATACAAAGAACGCCACTATCAGATTCTCAAAACCCAGAGAATTGTAGGAAGTCCAAACCTCGGTTAGTACAGTCCTATTTCAAATCTCCTCTTACAAAAGCTATTTTTCCTTTTTAAACAAGTAGTACATCAGACATACTTAGTGCTCTAGAATGATCAGGGTTCCGTATTCCTTTTGCTCGCAACCTCTGCAGTAACACCGTAGAGGACAGCTGCTTTACAAGATAGACTGCCATGGAATAGTTCTAGAAAACACAACAAAAGATCAAAGTAAAAACTGTTTTAATCAAAAGATAGCTTGTATTTTATACAATGCTTATGCAATTCTTTATGTGATTACAGGGCACTGTGTTTCTAAAGCAGTTACATGAGTTTAGATGGCAAAGCTTTCAGACTAGAGAAAACCCATCGTGCTTCAGAAAACTCACAGGGCTGGAGCTTTAGAGGTGCAACAAAAGTGACTTCACGCTTCACTGAGATTAGATTTAGCTGCAAACCGAGCTATTAAAACAGCATTTAGGACACTTCTGGAGTTTTACATCTAACTCAGGGCATGCAGTCTACAGCCCATTTCAGAAAGGCAATTTTACATCAATGTTAGGTACTACAGTTGTGTCAATATATTTAAGGGAAGCTGTCAGGTCAAATATGATCAAAACTTTTTTTTTTTAATAAAAGCTTATTTTGTTTTCAAAATAGGAAAATCAGCAGTGATGCCGCTTCAAAAGCGATACATAAAGAGATACATCACCTGCAGTATTTCTTACTCTGGAAGAACTGTTCAACTTTCTTTTTCTTGCCTTCCTTCACTTGCTGTCTATGAAATGATAACGCTACTTCACTGCCAAAGCTTAAAAGAAGGCAGTTAAAGAGTTCAAGACTTCAGTGGGATCAAGATGTACTCTAGTGAATCTAGCCGGAATGGGCAAGAAGGCACCGCTCCCAACTGTCTGTCCTTCCCTTCTGGAAGAGGTTGGGTCATTTCCCTGCACCGGTCTCAACAGAACAGACCATGCAAATGTTACTTATCATGTGACAGCAAAAGTGTCAGCAAAAAGCCAGGGATGCTCACTTCTGCCACTACAGAAGATAATTTGGCACACAAGCAGGTCAGATGCCGACCGAACACCTACCCTGCCAGCTCCCCTGTGAGCAGGGTAAGCCTTCCCTAGAGGGACAGAGCAGGAGTGGCAGGAGGAACGGCTCCTCCTGGCATCGCTAGCTGATTTCAAACCACAGTTTGAGATTCCTGAAGCTCTCATTTTTCTTGTAAACTACTAACAACAGAAGGTAATAACTGTCTTGGTAAAAATGTGATATTGTACTATGCATTCATCAGCAACACCCCTTTCTCCCCGCCACCCCCCAAAATGGAAAGGACAAAATTTGTGTTCTCATGTTAGGGTACATCAATTACTTTTTGATATAAGCAGCATTTGCTAAACCTGTAGCTGCACACATACACTTTAAATTGAAAAATGAAAGGCTTCCCCCAGCAACTGCCATGTATGTTTCCACTAACAAACCAAAAAAATCCATACAATTATGACATCTACCATCCTTTATTTAGGATGCCACCAGAATCCAAAGATGGGATTTCAGTAATATATCTTACCATAAAATTACACAAATTGAAATAGCATCAGAAACACCACATTTTAAATATTTTATTCTTACAATGAATGCCTCTCACATCGTTAAAAATCACTACTGCTTTAACTTGTTTGTTTAATGCCTCAATTACTATAGAAGTTAGAAAAATGCTAATTAACATCGAGAAATTATTTACCGACAGCTTGAATCTACAAAGCTACGAACTTGCCCAAGGCATCTTGTACAGAAGGCTCTTGAAACAGATTGTGTAAAAATCACAATTATGACTTCAGGAAAGGTAGAGTACACCAGTTGAGACATGCAACTGACTCTTAAGGGAAAGGGAGGAGGGGAATTCAATTTTTGTACTGTACAGGCACATCCAAATATAAAATAATTCCTCACATTTAATTGTCAAGGTCTCAAACAACCACTCTAGGAAGCTTTACATCTCATGAGTGGGGAAGTTCTGACTGGCATCTAATTCTCATGAAATACACTAAGAATTTGCCACTTCAGTTTTGTATTCTAAGCTAGAAGTTAGCCAATATGTTTTTTATAACTGAAATACCTACAGAGCCTGAGAAACTAGCCAGTTCACAAGAGACGAGCTTAGAGTTCACACAGACTTGTCACATTTCTTTTCCCTAAATCCTCACTGGTATTCTTAAGCAAAAGTGCAGCACTGTATTCAGAGTAATAACCAGGATTCATCAACTTGCATGCAGGCACTTCTGCAATGTAAACCAAAACAGGTTCATTTTTAAATGCTTATTTCAGATACCTGCAGTTCTCATTAGATAAGAGGAGGTTTTAAAAAAATCATTCAGCCATCATTTATTCTATACTCTGAATGGAGACTGTTTTACGCTCCACAAGAAATCCATCATGAAATACCATCATGATGTTTTATAACTGGCTATTGTGCACAATTGGGCTGTAAGCATTTTTCCACGCTGGTTCAGGAATCCTGGGCTTTGCGCACTGACAAATTCTTGGACAAGGTTTCATCTCAGGACAATTCTCGGGACTTCTAAAAACAGGATGGTTGCAATGGCAAAGCCACCGTTTTTCAAGTACATGTTGACTCTGTAATGTGTATCTAGCAGGCTTTTTGCCATCACTGAAAGCAGTACACTAATTCACGGGCTAGTTTATTGAAGTAACTTTTTGTAGCATGTTCCAGATTTAATTAGTCCAGTGGAACATCAGCAATTTTATAATACCAATTGTAACATTCTCCCACAGACACAAAAAAGTTATAAAAACATGACATTTTAAATATTAAGTATAAAGATAGCAGTTGCAAGAACAGAAGTGTAACAAAGACAAATTGAATCTCCTGGGCCGTGCTGAGTTGCTATGCTTTGTGTCCTCACAGTTCTAAAAGACCACTCTGTACTGAATGTCACATGTTAGTTACCAGTGGAAGCCAAGGCAAGGTTTGTCAAGTCCCTAAAATCAGGAAGAACTTGCAGTCTGAAGTTAAGACAAACAAACAAAACGGTTTTCTAGGATGTCTTGATCTTATTATCTAGGCTCTCAATGAGTCACAAAGACAGGTGAGCGGGGGGTGAAGACTGAGAGACCACACCGAAAAATTTGAGGGCTACTGATCTAAGGCAGCATGTCATACCTGCCTAGCATAAAGTAACGAAATCACAAGAAGGAACAGTCTACTGCTAAACGATGAAGTATTTTCTGCACAATTGAGCTTGCTTATCTTTCAAGTCTTTCAAACAGAGGCCAAAGCAGAAACTAATAAGCTTTAGACAGCATTATGTACCAAAGTTACTTACTCTTCCAATTTCTGCAGTCCATGAAACAACGATTGTGTTTGGTACCGTCGTAGATAATCTGACGAGTGAGGTAATGTTGATTGGTCGGCTAGGTCGCTTTGGTTCAACACCATTTTTGGTTGGTGGAAGATAGCCCTAGAAATCAAAGTATTTTTTGCCCTCAGAAAAAAAAAATAGTGCTTTCGCCGCCTTTCCCTCTCACCACAACTCTGCCCCAATAAAAGCTGTGTGTCACCTGAACCAGGCTCCCTCTCCCATTTAAAGATATATATAGATATATAGCGAGATATATGTATCAGACAATGAAATATCAGGAGTTTTACAAGCCCTTTCTCCTTACACGGAGCCTCGTACTTTCCGCATCCTAACCCTGCCCACCGGAATATTAAAAGGCACCTTTGCCATCTCTCCTTTCTCAGCAGTCCTATTCAACCTGCCTGGCTAACATTGCCCAGTCTAACCCCGTGCGCTACCCCAGTACTGTAAGCTGGTGTTTTTCTCTTTAGTCTTGTTGGTCAATAATGGTCTATTCCCTGTACAGACAACCTCCAAAACAGAGTCCAATTTCAGCCAATCTCATGGGATGTTTATCAAACATAAAAATTTACTGTCACATTTTTTGAAAATTAACCTTTTGGATCTACTGGTTGGCCTCCTGAGAAACAATTTACTTAACTGTTTTTTCCATTCATCTATCCATCTTTCATTCAAATGCTTCAAAATGTGAAAACAAATGTTAGGATAAATTCTTAGGCTAATTTCTGACAGACTGTTCCTAATAATGCTATCCAAATACATATATCAAAATAACATCTTACTTACTGGAAGGCTGCATGGTTTCCCATTTACTTTCACACACAGATTGGGTGGGAAGTGATCTTCTTGTGGACAACTGGTTTCTGATAAACAAAACCTAAAAGCAAAGAGCTTCCATCATCTTTCACTTCTAAAGTGATTTAAAGATCACCTCTTCCTAAGAAGAAATTTTTTCTCCCACAGAGTTATGAAAGTATGACAAATCTTGCTAAACACAAATTAGCTGTACAGATCATTAAGCAGGAAAGCCCCCCAAAATCAAAAGTTTGGATCAATGTGGCTGTAGGTTCCTCCTCAGATTTCTTAAATTCCTCAGACTGACTCATTCAGATATGCAGGTTCCTGTTACAAAAGACAGATATCCGAATTTCTTTCCTACCATTTCTCCAGCCTGACCTTTTGATACAAGACCAGGGTTTCACAAAGGACAAAACATACAGTCTCTTCAAGTGTCCCTCCTCCAACTTCAATAAACCAGCTAGCTGCGTAGCCACAGCATCAAACTTAAGTTCAGACAGTTTTATTTACTTATGTTCAGATGGGCTTATTTGCTGCTGGCACCAAAATAAGACACACCCTTCCTTGTCCTACGAAATACGTGTAGGCCAAGATCGAGGACAATAGGCATTCAAAGGACCAAAAAGAGCCTCTCAACTCCACTAGCTTTCTTCCAGGGGACCTGCCCCATCCATGCAAATGTACCATCACATCAGGGTACAGCTATTCAACGCAGCTGAGCCAAACAGGCTGCTGCTCTCAAAAAGGGGAAGCTTTCTATCCCAGTTTTCCCTCATGCCCTCCTCATCCTGTTGTCCATCTGACCCCACACCAAGCCAACCTGAGCTGCCAATCAGCAGACTGTATCCTAACAAGTAAGACCCAAAAGCAATCACTTGCTCTCTTGCAAGTTAGCAGCTCACCATGCAAACATGGCCAGGGGGACAAAAGGCAAGAGAGCCATTTTTGACAGGAGCAAGCTCTGCTCACAGCCCTCTACAGAATTCCAGGGATACACAGGATTTAATCAACTTACAATACATTTGTCAAAACCTCTAAAATAACCAACAGGTTAAGACTCAATCTGGTGATTCCCAAAGTCTTGCCTCCCATTGCCTAAAGAAAAGTAGACCTTGGGTTGCCATGCCCAGCAAATACTGTGTTTGACATCTCTGCCAGGAAAAATAACGCTCCCTGCATGTGTATTTTGAAGGCCCAGGCACTTGGAATCTGACAGATGTGGAGTTAAAGAAAGGAGCCTATGCACAATCTAAAATAACGAATTGAAGAAATCAGCTGGCTATAGCTAAGTACATGCAGTGTTCTGACATGTCAGGTATCAAGCCACCAGCAACTTCAGGAAAACTGCATGTAATAAGGACGAGTCGTTAAGTCTGCCCTTTTCAAAGCAGCCAACGGCAGGCTTTTCTCAAGAAAACAACAGGATAAGACTCTTCTCCACAAAGGAAAGTCTGACCTGCTGGGGAGCATATATCTGATGTATTTAAAAAAACTCCAGCATCAAGAACAGGCAATACAGACACATACCTTAGCTGGACCTGTACTGTGAAGTCACATTTGGTCCCAGAAATATCCCTAGAAACAACATAACAGAGGTTAAAACATATCGTTTACACAACAGGTTCATCAATATTTTCTCAGAGTTTGCGGTAAGTTCAATGTATGTAAACCACACTTCCCATTATCTATAGCGTATACCACACTTCCCTTCTGGTCAGTCAAACCACCACTCTCAATGAGACACACTAAAAGGTACATTTTTTTTATTTTTTAAGGTAAATAAACCAACTACAGACTCATCTGACATCTACCATTTCCTTTTTTTCTTCTACTATAGAGGAAATTCCGATGTATCACTATGAAACACCATCTTTATATAGTGAATAAACATAGAACTCAACAAAGCACCTGACTGATGGTGAGAAACGGCTGCCAGAGGAGAGTTATGTATTTGTACAGCACTTAGTACAAGAGAAAACAGCCCAATACTCGCTGGACAGTGGTGGTATTTAATTTTTTCTTCCTCACCCTTTCCCTCTCCATCAGCATACATACAAAGGAGAAAAGAATTCCCCAGAAGAGTATTCTCTGAGGCACTACGCACACTTCTGTGTTCTTTAAGATCACGTTTCAAATGAAAGGTATGGTAAGCCAGTTCCCTTTTTTATTTACTTTTATTTATAAATACTGTATTACTGATCAAACTCACTCACATTGAACTGCTGATTTGCTGCACTTGTTGTGGCGTCAGTGCAAATGCAAAGCAGGTTTCTCGAAATCGCTGACTGTTATCTGATGCTAGAAGAAAACAAGAGATCATCACTTTAAAAACAGCAAGTAGAGAATAATTAACAGAACGATCTCCTTTCATTGTTGTGTCCACATATATATACGCACACATTTTTATAGGAAGCCAAATAGTGTGACACACATCTGTTTCTGTAAACAATTTTAGAGCCAACAAGAAAGTTGCCATTTAAACACTCCTGTAAAGAAAAATACAATAAACAAACTTTATATGCATATAAAGTATACATAAAAAAAGTGATATAGATAACAGCAAAGCTGAGACAAATCAGCTTAAGACTTTCTATCAGTCATGGTAACTTACCACTAAATATTCTTTGATATGAAATTAAAAAAAAATCTTAGGAATTCTCACCAATCACTTTTCTATTTCCTTAACGCACAAGATCATGGATTAGCCTGTGAAAGTATACAGAGTGACTGAAGTACAACACATGCAACTTCTCACATTTCAGTAAGATGCTTTATGGCATTAAATGCACCAAATACATAATATGCAAACAACTCGTGAAAGTATGAAATCTGGTTTTAAAGTCCTTCAACTCTGTGCCATAGTGCTCCGTAACAAAATAAACTGTACGTAAGAATTAATGCACCTGCTGAAAAATCAAATAAATGTTAATCGTCTCCAAAACAGTGCTTATATCTAAAACACATCCCTTCCCCGGGGCCACAGGCACCACTGCAGTACAGAAGTATACACAATGGCAATGAAAACGTCATTAAAAAAAAAAAAAAAAAAGAGATAGAGAAGCCTCTCCCCCGAGAACTGCTTAACATGCTCATCAACACATGTATTGAAGTGAAAGTTGTAAGAAGCTTGCCATTCAATTTTACTATTCTTAATAATTTTATAAGGTTATGAATAACTATATTGTGTATTAAACACTCGATAAATTTACCATTTTTTGTTTTACTATAAACACTTCCTGACTCATCCTTGAGTGACAGATGAGTGAATACTTCAGATATTTTGTTAAAAACAGCATGTGGTAGGTTGGAACCAACAATAGAATAGACATTGACTTAGTATAAATATTAACAGCAGCAATCTCACAAAATTACATTTCTATCTTTCTTGTATGACAATGCTGCAAGATTTGTACATTTTATTACATTATATGCAACAACCACCTGCAGTTCATTATCAGTTGCTCTAAAGCTAGATGGGCAAGAATAGGTAATACATACCAAACAGCAACTTCTGTGAAAATACTAGCAGCAGCAAATATTTTTAAAAGTATTAAGTTATACAAATAACGTTTTATATTTTTATATGCATATATTTCCTTTTTTGTCAATAATAAGTTCTACAGTAATGTCCGAAAACACCATGTGGGCTAGGTGCAGCACGCAGCCTCAAGTTCATGTTTAGTTAGATGCTCATGCCTACAGTATCCAGCATCTGTTTTTATTTTAATACATTTGCAATTACATTTCTTCAAATGAGAAGCACGCAGGGCTTCAGATGACAGCCAGTCATGTTATCACAATGTAAGAATTTGCCCTAAATATAAACACAATGTACACAATTACCAATGAAAATCAATTACAGAATCACAGAATCACTAGGTT